GCATTTTGTTGTTTGGTTTTTAACAAGATCAAGCGCGAGATCCCACTTTAGCATATTTTGGCGTTCTTCGGTATTGATTAATAATAAAACAGCTTCTGCAGAATATCTAACGCAAATTCCACCCAGAAAAATCAATCATTGACGTTTTTGCTTTACACTCCTCAGATTCAACAAATGAGATCATTTTTTCAACAAACGTCGTCACAACGCATTTTCCCTTGGAGCTCAGCTTCCATTAAGTACAATTGCAATGGCGATACAATGACCATTTCTGTGAATGATCCTTTCTCTCCGATATGCATAAATAACCCGTCGGCATGATTTAGCTGCAGGTAAATTACCAACGCAGTGGTATCATTCCCATTAGAGATACAACGCCCACCCTGATAACGATGGTCGTTGTCCCTCATCTCGACTGTTTATCGTAACTGCCGTGTCCGCATCTATGGCCCATGTAAGGCTGATTATGAGGCCTCACCTGTGCACGGCAGTCTAATCCACTGATCAACGATGGTCCTTCATGCTCATGACTCCTCGCATCGTGACTCGTCTCGAATACTAATTGTAACTGTTCGCGTCTATGTGCGGCGTTGATTATGAAGTCCCACCTATGCACAGTAACTTAATCCAATAACCAACGACGGTCCTTCATATCCATAACCATGTGCGATGCATTTTATCTTTGCTACCTATAGTAAACACCAGGCCGACATCCATGTGGGCATTTAAAAATAGGGCCTCAACTATGCGTAATAGCCTAATCTGACAGCCCGTCGTACGCGTTGCGCTACTCCATGTCGTCTTACTTGGCTACCTATCGTACCTGGTAAGCCCGTGTAAACGTGCTGCGCTGAGCAACCGGTAGCCTTATCCAACCTAGTCCGTCATACTCGTAGTTTTACGCGTTGTCGTTTACTTTCGGTATTTATTATGAAAACCGGACCAGTATTTGTGCATACAAAACTAATTCAACGGTGAGCGACGGACGTCGTGCTCATAACTGTACTCGGTACCGCCTACCTTACCTAATTTTAAAACTGCTGGGCCAATGCCTGTAAGCGAACTTGATAATTAGGCCTCGACTATGCAAGGTGTTGTAATCTTACTGCCAACGATGGCCCGTCAAGCCCATAACTGTGTGCGCCCTCGCTTATATCTGCTATCTATAGTGAACACCAGACCAGTATCTATGCGGGCCAATAAAAATGAGTCCCCAGCCATGCGCATGTCCTAATCTAACGGCCAACGACAGCCCGTCATATTCGTAATTGTAGTCGAAAACGTCTACCTTGGCTTCTTATCGTTATTGCTAGGCCTGTGACTATGCGCAATGCCGAGTTTGAGGCCTCGAAAATTCCCGGTAGCCCAGTCCAATGGCCAACGGCGGCCCGTCATACCCATACCTTTACTCGATGTCACCTACCGAGGCTATTTATAGTAACTACCGGACCCGTGCACATGCGTCTAGCTAACCTTCATGCCCAAACTATACATAATATATGAACCCAATCAACAATGGTAGTCCTTCATATCCATACATTGTCCGCCTGCCAACCCCATGCCTAAAAATACACAAGCACCTTCAAAGGCCATGTTTCTGTTTATCGGTTGCAACAGCACAAACACGATATGTGCTCAATCCGGTTCTCATTTTTTTACTCAACGGTTTTTCGAAAACATGTACAATCAATTACGACTCAAATACGTCTTCCGCGATATCACTTAAAACAGAACAACCAATACTGCAGCCTGATACACACGCTACTCGATATTCACGGATATACAGCGTTGATGCCATAGATGTTTCAAATCAGCCCGAGCCTTGCAGGTTCGTGCATTAACCTCATCTGACAAACTACAATAAAAACTAATACAACCTCAAATGTATATAAAACGCTGCACCACACTACCACTGTGTGTGTTTGTATCGATTTGCTCTAAATCTCTTGTACTATAATGGCACATATTAGCAAAGTCAATGTGTACGTGGCCACTAGTCTGCCAAGTACAGATGTACCCGACCAAAGTAGTTGTGGTAACCCTCAACTTTTATCTCTAATATTGCGCTGTGTGAAAGATGTCTGTGGTTGAGTATCGGTGTCTCCGCAGCACTGGTCAGGTCTGGTAGGGACACCAGAGTAGTAATACTGAGGCACGCCGGATGGTTTTGTGAAGAAGGAACTCTTCCATGATAAGTGAATTACTCACGCCTCTTGGTTGTACTGGCTGAGACACGTACTATTTATGGCAGAGGACTGTCTGCTTCACAGAGCTCCTTTCGCTCAGCGCTGTGCCGAGTGAA